GGAGGTTGCGGTGAGCCGAGATTGCGCCATTGCACTCCAGCCTGGGTAACAAGAGCGAAACTCCGATTCAAAAAAAAAAAATAATAATAATAACAATAAAATAAAAAACAGAAAGTTATGATGACTTTCAAGATTTAAGTTAAACAGATGGCTGGATCACTTAATGAGATAGATGTAAAAGATTTATTTGGTTTGTTTTTGTAGAAGGGGGTTTGAGATATCCAAAAGTTCAATTTTAAACATGTTTAAATGAGAAATGCATACACTGAGATGTCAGAAGGCAGGTGTATATATAGGTCTGGAGGCTGAAAAGATAGGTTTGGGCTAGAGATAGAAATGAGGGCATCCACTAGCATATAAATGATACTTAAAGGCAAATGTTTAAGTGGAATAAGTTAGGGGTAGAGCGTACAGAAAGCTAGAGTCCTTGGTCCTGGGCCCAGGACTAAATCCTGAGTATTCCAACATTCAGAGGTTGCCTAAAGAATGAAGGGAAAAAAAAGGAGAGAGAGAGAAACTGCAGCAATAGCAGTGTGTGATAGCACAGAAATGGAGGGACTTTTTCACACAGGAAAAAAAAAAAATGGTCCACTATATCAAATGCTACTGACAGTTATAGTAAGATGAGGAAAGAGAAGAATGCACTAGATTCATTAGCATGGAAGTTACAAGTGATCTGGCGATTAGCAGAATCAATAGTTCTGACAGAATTATAAAGTCAATGTCAAATCAAAGTGAGCTGAGGAGTAAATACAGATGAGTAAATACAGATATTTGGTCAGTGGCTGCAAGGAGATGTAAGGTCAAGGGTATTTCTTTGTATAGTTTGTTCTATTTCACTGTAAGACAGGACATATGAAAGCATGTCTTCACACTAATAGGAATGATCCAGCAAAAAAAAAGAATAGGTTGGAAGAGGGAGAAAAGAGGAAGGGGTGAAGGAAGGAGGCTAATCAAAGGAACACCCTTCTTGAATATTAGTCATTTACAATGTAAGATTTCTAAGACCTTGGCAAATTAAAATTCAGAACTTTAAATGGAATGTGATGCTGTTCATGCCCCATTTCACTAAGCCTCATATTAGCTTCATCTGAGTGTTGTGATAAATAAGTTGTATCAAGCATTACCCTTAATGCTACTGCTACACTTTGAGGCAGAAGAAAATGTAAATGGAACAAGCAATGCTAAACATAGATTCAGACACATTAACGGATGATCTACTGAAGAGAAAGGTACAAGGAAGGCTTAACTAGAAACAAGCAAAAATACTGTGGGAATAAAAGAGAAACATATGGGTCAAAATCCCAAACACACAGAAACACAAGATTTATAAATAATGCAAAGCTATGATCTAGATTTGCCACCATTAGACATCAATGACCGATTAACAGAAATCACAAGCTAAATGAAAGTAAATTATGACCTTAAAATGTATGACTTACAAATATACCTGAATTAAAGATTATTACGAATAGGAATCTGAAAACATAAATTTGTGAAAGAAAAACTTGTTTAAAAGTACCTAAGTTAAAATACAAACTTTTCCTCAAAAAGTGATTTTGTCATTTTCTCTTTTTGAATGTTGATATAAAACAAGCAAATTACTAGGTAGCATGTTTATGACTACTGAGATACTGAAAACATGAAGACAAAAATTATTTCATAGTAAAACACAAAAGCAGCATAGGTCAAGTAGATATAAAGAAAGGCATGAAGAATTACTATTAGAACCATTACTACTACTATTTTCACAGTGCTTTCTATGTACTAGGCACGATTGTGAGCCCTTTTAATTTTTTATATCAATTATGACAATAACTCTATAAGGAAAATAATGCAATTATCCTCCACTTTACAGATGAGTAACTCAGACCTCATCTAACACAACCAGTAAAGAGCAGGCAGTCTGACCACAAGGTTCATGTTGCTAACCACCATACTGCACTATATTCTATTACATCTACCAACAGTGGGATAGTAAATTCTTTACAGTAGGATAGAATGATAACATTTGGATATTACAAGAAAGCACACAGTATGAAAATTAATGTATGTTATTCCCAGGAGCATTTCACTTCTTGAATTGCTTTTTATATAACTTTATAAAGGCCTATTGTTAAATCTTCTCCTAAAGAACCCTACAGAAAATATTATTACATAAAAGAAAGAAAACATACAGGAAAAAAAAAAAAAAGAAATTTACTCAGTAAATCAACAACAAGAAGCCAAAATCAATGTTCCATAACTGCAAAACTGAGAAACATATTTGCTACGCAAAAGAAAATTCTACTGAATGCAGTTTTTCCTAGTTTCACACGTCAATCTTGCTATCTGATGTATCTGAAGCTATACATTAAAAATTAAAATTTAATGTGAAAACACATTTTGAGATAAAGGGCACACTACCCAAAGAACTATAATGGAAGCACCTTTGTTATACCTTATTTGAACAATAAAGTCCAAACACAAAGCTCATCTATTAATATACAGTTTTTAAAAAATTAAAAATGTACCATCAGAGAATTCTAACTTTAGAAAAATAATTGCTTTCTTTTCTAGGTAGTGAATTATCATCCTCAAGTCTAAAGAAGTTACTTTGCTAATAGGAAAAAAAGAAAAATCATGAAACTATGAAAATGAAAAATTTCCTTAATTCAGCTGCTTTTAAAGGTAACAATTTATAGGTAGGGAAGAAAATTATATGTTTACATATGACCAAAAGACTGCAAATTCACGAGTCCCTGTAGCCCTACCAACTATTCCTTATTTCCCATTTGAACATGGGAAATAAAATGTCAAGGAATATGAACTCAAATGGAGAGATTTAAACTTCAGGCAAAGTAAAGGTGAAAAGCAATGATTAACAACAAAGAGCAAAACTTGGGTCTCAGGATAAATCATGCATTTCTAGGCCTCTTTTAAGGGTTTATTATGACAAGAATCTAACCAAATACTAACCCAGGGAAGGTCAAGTTGACTCCTGAGTAAACCAAATAAAATAGTTCTTAAAATGCCTCTATTAAAGTAAGGAATGGGAGACACTATAATAATACAGAATCCGAATTCAGACAAAGTCCATGGCACAAAAATCTAGTTGTCATAATTTACCTTGTCTATAACGTTACAGTAAGACAAATTACCTTTAAACATGCTTTCAAATATTAGCTAATTTTAAATACTTTTTAAAAGTATATAGGACAAATGCTTACTTGTTGTGGAATATAAAATATATCAAAAGTAAAATGTAGCACTTTACCTTAGACCAAAGATATGTGATTGTTCATAGTTGAATAAAGAATGAATCTTAGCTTCAGAATTCAAAATTATAAGTCTATCAATAATATCCTGAAAAAGAGAGAAAATGTGAGGCTGTACATAACTGGAATCATTTAAAGAAAATTAAGTCAACCAAAATTTATTTACATTTGTGGCTCTCAAATTTGGCTTTACAAGGAAATCACCTGGGAAAGTATAAAAATAATAATAATAATGTTGATGCCTGGGTCCTAACCCTCAAAGATACTGAATTAACTGTTCTGAGTGTGGCCTAGATTTACATTAGGACTGTAAAAGTTTCCACACTGAATCTAGCGTTCAGCGAAAGTTGAAAAACACTAATTTTGACCCTGCTCTGGCACTGGTGAGTACCTTATACCATTATTAAATACTGATAAAATTGCCAAAAATGTAAACTACTTTGAAAAACAAATATAAAATCCACAAATTAGAAGAATGAACAATGGATCCAAATATTCTATCTAGTAACTATTTGAGATTTTCTTAACAGACATTATCTGGCTCATGTTAATCAGTGGTTTCCAACCCTGGTTGAACATTAGAATCACCTAGGAAACTGAAAAAGATACACACATGCCCAGGCTCTACCCCTGGCCAACTAAATCATAATGTCTAAGGGTGGGATTCTGGCATTAATACTCTTTTAAAAAGCTCACTATGATGTTCCAGTGTGTAGCCAAGCCTTCAAAACCATCGATGCAAATACACACAGAAGCTGATGATCGAGGTGCCAGCAGTTGTCCTAGCACTGACAATTTCAGCCAACCACACAATTCTGAAAATATTTCAAAGGCTCTCTTGGCTGGGTGCGGTGGCTCACACCTGTAATCCCAGCACTTTGGGAGGCCGAGGCAGGTGGATCACGAGGTCAGCAGTTCAAGACCAGCCTGGCCAACATGGTAAAATCCCGTCTCTACATGGTGGACGCCTGCAATCCCAGCTACTTGGGAAGCTGAGGCAGGAGAACTGCTTGAACCAGGAGGCAGAGGTTACAGTGAGCCAAGATTGCACCACTGCATTCCCGCCTGGATGACAGAGCAAGACTCTGTCTTGAAAAAACAAGCAAACAAAAAGGCTTTCTTTCTATACTGCCCTGCTTCTACATGTATCTTTGGGTTCAGGCCTAAGAAATTTATTCATAGACAAACATTTATGTCTCTCATTCCTCATTTTTCTGACCAAGAAACTTGCTACTCTCCAGTGAGTTTAAATTCAGAATATTTCTATTACCAATAGGGCAAAAGAAGAAAAGTTCTGCAAAGGAGTAAAGTTACATATTTATTGAGGAATCTGTGGCATATGATACAAAGACTATTTCATCAAATAAAAAAAAAAAGAGGCAAGGGAATGAATTTGTAAAACAAAGGAAATAATGGATATTTCAAAATCACATTTGAAAAATACTAATCAAATACTGATCAATACTAATACAACTGGATTGTGGGTAAAGCTACCTAGTAAAAATTTGTGCCCAACACATAAGAATGCATTATCATTCTATAGATTATTTTGTAGAAATGTGTAAATAATACTAGCATGAACATTTAAATTGGTAAATATTAATAAACTACCCAGCAATGATGAATAAAAAGACTATTATTTTTAAATGATCTGTTGCTGTTATCTACTGCTTTGCTGGGCACTCCTTGCTTCAAACATTACAATAGAATGTGAGCTCAGCAACTCATATTTTACATTCCCAGCTACACAGTCACTCTCATTAATTGCACCACGACTCTTCCCATCTTCTCTAACTTCTCCACTTCTTCCTGAATTAGCTACATGACAGAGCCACACAGCGTATTACCATGACTTTTTTAAGCATCTGAATGCTATTAAATAAATAGTCTTTGCCCTGGACATAATGATGAAACCTGTTTACTACCTACCTGTTCTACAAATAGGTAAATGTTTTATTACTTAATAATTATTGTACTTTTAAAGAAATGACCTATTATCACTGCTGTTAACTGCACTTAATCTTCACAGAACAATCTAGAATTGGTTAGGTATCATTAACCTACCTGTACCTGAGGTGAGAGAGGTTGCCAATTAGCTCTATGGATAGTAGTTTCTAAAAGTATTATAATAAATATTTCTCCATTAGTAGGGAATTCAGATAGGTGACTGAAATTTGCACTACTATCTGAATATAAGGTAGAGCTCAAACTATTTGAGAGCCAGTGACATCCTGTAACCGAGATTCTAGTTCTGAATCAAGTACTAGGTACTGTTTGTTAGAATAAAAATGATAGACTGTATTATCAACAAGCTAATGGAAGAGTAGATTGCAGTAATCTTATCAATGAGAATGCATTTTCAAAGAACAAATGTTATGGTAAATAATTTTTTCAAAGAAGAAGATTACACTGATGTATCACCACTTAAGGAATAAAACAAAACTCCTGGGAAGCCTTATGGAGAGCTTCTGTTTCTAAGCACCATAATATGTGTCAATTAGGGAATCAACCTCCTAAATCAAGAAGCAGCTTCCCAGCAACAACCTAGTGCAAGAAGACCTGAGACTTACAAAAAGTAGACAGAAATTCTGTATCTTTTTAAAAGATACTATCCAGCTTGAGAATAATTTCAATAACCTACTAGGTCAGACTGAGGCCATACTGGAAAAACAAAAAGGAACATCAATTCCATATAAAGATGTGTTGAATGCCTACTGTTTACAACTGTCCCTAAAACTATGTTGAGGCTATGCAATTGACTCCTTTTACTGAAGAAATAGGCAAGTTAAGGGTAAGGATAGGTCAACTGTTAATGTCCTGCACTTCCACTTCTAAAAGTGGCTTATCATATTAATAAAACTAAGCTAATCAAATTCATTCCTTGGGATTTTTCAACATGGAAAAGTAGAGGAAAAGGCCGCTCTCCTATTTGGGGTTATAGAGAATTAAAGGGTGACCCCTCACACACACACCAAAAAAAAAAAAAAAAAAAAAAAAAAGATATGTCCAGGTCCTAATCCCCAGAACCTATAAATGTCACCCTATTCAGAAAGCACCACTGCAGAGGTTAAGAGTCTTGAGGCATGTATGAGTTCATAGACAAACCTGATACTGGGTAATTTATTTAAAAAAAAAGAGGTTTAATTAACTCACAGTTCAATGTGGCTGGGAAGGCCTCAGGAAACTTACAATCATGGCAGAAGGGGAAGCAAAAGCATCATTCTTCACATGACAGCACGAAGGAGAAGTGCAGAGCCAAGTGGGAAAAGGCTCCTTATAAAACCATCAAATCTCATGAGAACTCACTCACTATCATGAGATCAGCATGGGGAAATCACCCCCATGATTCAGTTACCTCCTGTCAACCCCCTCCCATGACACATGGGGATTATAGAAACTATAATTCAAGATGAGATTTGGGTGAAAACACAGCCAAACCATATCATCCTGGATTACCAAAGTAGACCCTTAATCCAAGACAAGTGTCCTTATAAGAGAAAAATAGAGGGAGATTTAAGATTTAGCCATGTAAGATAGAGGCAGAAATTGGATTTATATAGCAACAAGACATGAAATGCCTGGAAAAAACAAAAACTAAAGAACCAAAGGATTCTTCCCTGGAGCCTTGGGAGGAAGCATGGTCCTGTTGGCAGCTTGTTTTCAAGCTTCTGGCCTTCAGAATTGAAAACAATAAAATTTTGTGCTTTAAAGCTACCCAGTTTGTGGTAATATGTTATGACAGCCCTAGGAAACTAATAAAAGGGGAGAGTGCAAAGATATCAGTAGAGAATAACAGATAGCCCTCCTATGGGTAACGGAGGATGATGGAGTCCTCTGCTATACAGAACACCATTTAGAGAAGAAGAAAATAATTATAGAAAACATTTATATATCACTTACTACCTGCCAGGCAGTGATCTAAATGCATTTAGTCTTCACAACAACCCTGAGATGGAAATATTACTGCTCTGCTTTAAAAAAAAAAAAACAACCCACTTCATTGAGGTATAATTGACATGAATAAGCTGTACTAATAACATATAAACTTGATGAGTTTGAAGATATATATACACCTATGAAATCATAACCACAATCTATGCCATAAGCCAATCCATCACCTTCCAAAGTTTCCTCCTGCCTTATTTATTATTTTGTGTCTGTGAGAGATAAAAACATTTAGCCTGAGATCTGCCTCCTTAGCACAGTATTGCTAACTACAGGCACTATGTTGTATAGTAGATCTTTAGGATGTAATTATCTTGTATAAATAAAACTTCATACCCTTTGACTAACACTTGCCTGTTTCCCCCTTTCTCACTCCTAGCCACCACCATTCCACCCTCTACTCTCTACTGTAATGGACACCCAGAGAAAAGGCAGCAATCAGAATAGTCCAACTCCTGCTGAGCTCTGGCACTGACTAATTAATCATAGTGTTCCTAGAAGTGACACTGATAGGAAGCCTATTGCATTCCTACTTCATTAATATAAGCAGAAAACTTCTTGGTTGAACAGACAAAAGACTAATTTGAATTATAAAAACAGAGAATCACAGCCCTTCAATCAATTTCCAGACTTCAGCCAGTTTACAGACCCAGAATCCCTTGAGTGAAGAGGAGACCAGGTCCCTTTGAGAAAGGATCTCACTACATTACTAACAGTTTATGCTGTGAATCTTTCTCCTACCCTTCCCCAAAGAGATCTCCAGCCGTTTACCCAGGGCAACTGTGCAGAGGGGACAGGGAAATGATAAGACAACTGAGGGACTACTAGACACTGACTCTGAGCTGAAGTTGATTCCAGGGAACCCAAAATGTAATTGTAGTCCTCCAGTTAAAGTAGCAGCTTATGGCCATAAGGTAATTAATGGAGTTTTAGCTCAGGTCTCACTTACTGTGTATACAGTAGACTCCAGACTCATCCTGTGGTCATTTCCCCAGGGCCAGAATGCACAGTTGGCATAAACATGCTTAGTAGCTGGCAGAACCCCCACACTGGCTCCCTGAGTGGTAGGGTGAGGGCCATTATGGTGAGAAAAACCAAATAGAAGCCATTAGAGCTGCCTCTACCTAGAAAAATACTAAATCA